AGACTAGGGATCAGCCTCCTGGCCCAGCCTCGCACACCACAGTGTGTTCTCTGCTCTCTAATTAAGCGGCAGTTTTTTAAATCAAATTTGTAATCCATGTTCATCATTTCATATGCTGAGGTGGGTGATGCACAACTGTATAAACACCTATGAGTGCTTAATTACRTACAATCACACGTGCGCACAGACACACACAGAGATGTCACGGCCAGACACTCCCAGGCCACACTTCCTGCCACCCCTCCTGGGCACGTGCTCCTGGCTGAGCTGCATGGCCACTGCGGGAGAACCTGGGATGTGGCCGTCCCTGCTGTGCCTCTGCCCGCCTGGCCCCGCACAGTGCTGAGGACCCAGTGTTGGGCAGAATCTTTCACGCCCAGGCCAAAATCCTCCTCTGCAGGTTCAGACCCCTGGGTTCAAGATGGAGTCAATACAGGAGATGAAGGAGCTTCAGAGACCTGGCGGGAGACAGCCCAGTCCCAGCCCTCCTGAAGGACAGCACCTCCCAACCCCTGGCAGGGCCCAGCCCTCCCCAGGGCCATCCTCGCCCTGCACTGGGAGTGGGAAGGCCAGACTCCTGCGTCCTGCCAGCCYGGCGTGGCCGGTGTGTCTGCCGTCACCTCCACTCCCAGCCCCTCCGTGTTGACGGTCTCAGCGGACGAGAGCCCCGTCACCTGTCACCGTAGGTGTGGGTTTATCTAGTTTCTGCATCACACAAGGAATACAGCAGCAAATGATGATAAAGGACTTGGGTGTTTCTAACCCTTCCCAAGTCCACCCCTCCCGGGCAGCTGTTCACGCTCCTGTGGCCTGTCCAGGTCTGCAGGCGGTTAGGGGAGAGGAGGCCGACGGGCCAATCAGCAGTCTGCACATGACGCTGCACTGGGACCGTGGCTGTCCTTCCTCCCGCTCCTCATAGAGCCTGTGTGCCCTGAGAACCACGCGCAGGCAGCGGCTGCAGGTCCCCCGGTCCCCACACAGACCCAGATCCCTCCTCATGCAGTCCAGAGGCTGGGAAAGCAGCAGCTGGGCGTCAGGCCCAGAGCCTTGCAGCCCCTGGCCAGGGCAGTGACTGAGGAGGACACAGTGTGGAAGCCTCYCTCCTCTCAGACACTCAGGCCTCTGGCTCTTCCTCCGGTTCTTCCTCAGGCAGCCAGGAAGGCTGGGCACAGCCTTGGGCCTCACCAAAAGCAGCTCCAGTGCTCTAACAGCCTCAAAAGGGCTATCATCGAGCCCTCACCAGCCCAGAATGGGCCTCCACGGCCCCTGCCCACTGCCCACTGCCCACTGCCTGGCTCTGGGACTCATGCACACATTATATTGGGAAGAATTTTTTTTTTAATTTAACAGATAYTGCTTATGAATTTCAAGGGCCAAGAGCTGTGTTGTGACTCCTAAGTCCTTTGTCCATTTTTAGAAATAAACTGACGGGCGTAGCAGACATGCCAGCACCCTGCGTTGGCTGCCACCCTCACAATGTCACGGATCCATGACCCCCACATTGAGCCACAACAATGACCATAATCGCATYAAGCACCTCCATGGGTTAAGCCCACCCCTTCGCACCGGCCACCTGGGTTCACAGAATGACGCTTCACTTCCAAAATGAAGAGCTAACTAGATAAACGAAAGCAGAATCCTATTTACTCAATCAACACTCTGCCCTCAGAGCAGCTGCCGAAGACAGACATGCCAAGGCCAAGCGGAAAGTCCCRGGGAATTAGGGCACAGGGACATTGTGCTCGGGTGGCCGGCCGCAGACGCTCATCTCCCCCACACGCTGTCAACCAACTGCAGAAGAAGCTCTTGGATCGCSTGCTTGGCCCAGGGAACGGGCTCCCCTGCCATCGGGATTTGCAGTCAAAGCTCGATCCACAGTCACAGGGGAAGCGCTGGCTGTCCCCTCCATGCAGGAAGGACTGGTGGGGGCACGCCTGGCTCTGTCCCCCCAGCCTTCGCGTCCCCTGTCCTCTGAGTTCTGTTCTGCTCTTCCTGCGCCGAGTGGCATCACCAGAGACTGTGTGCTGCAGCACCACGGTGTCCCAGTGACTCCAAGGCTTCAAGAAGAATATTTCAGAGCCTTTGCAGGAAGAAAGTGGAAATTTTTACAGTTCCAGCTGTTGTCTTAACTTAGTGTTCCAAAAGCCATGTGACCAAGGGGACAAAGGAATGGCCTTCCTCTCCCCTCCTCCTCTCCACTTCACATGCRTCTGCACCTAAGGAGCTGCAGGATCTAAAATCACCTGACACCCACCCTCTCCCCACCCTCACTAGCCCAGAAACAGCAGCACCTGCCACCTCCCCGAGAAGCCAAGGACAGCTGTCCTCCGAGGAGGGAAAATGGCGGGTCAGCGCGGCCCAGGTCCTCTGCACGGCAGCCCCACACTGCGGCCACGGCCACGCTTCCTCCTGGCCCTCTGGCCACCCCAAAGGTGAGCAGGACCTGCCCCTGCAGAGCTCCAACCAATGAGGACCACAGTCTGCCTCTCCAGGCTGACCACCCTATTCTTCTTCACACACCCTGCAAGACCGACCAGCGGGGGGGACAGATGAGCCACGGGTGGCCTGTGTCTCCACACAAAGGGGGAGTGTGGAAGAGACTCCCAGGCTTCCCATTCTTACCCTAAAACCCCAGAGTCATGGAAAGGGCTGTTTAACAGCTCTCTCCCACTCCATCCCGGGCAACAGGTCACAGTGGTCACTGCTGCCTCTCTCTTCCTCCGGCTGGACTCCAGTCTGCAGCCTGCTACCAGGAAGGCCCTGCATCTGCCCGGGAACCACTCCCTCTCCCAGGAGCTCACTCCCAGATCCAAGGCCTGCCCCTGGGGCTGCTGACCCCCAGGGGCACAAAGAGCAAGTCAGCAAGATCAGGGATGCCCCTTCCTGACCTTTCACAGGCCGGGCAAAGGGCTCTGGAACTCAGAGATCAGAGGCGACGGGCTCAGGGTGGGTAACCTCTCTGGCGAGGCCCTAGGGGGCGAGGCAAATGTGGCACTTTCTAGTGGCTGTCTCAAAGACACCTGCACCTTCACGCCGTCCTCCTGTCCCCAGCCTGACTACCCTTCCTGTTTTCTACACACTGACACACCAGAGTCTGCTCCTGAGCAAACGTAGCTTCTGTGAAAGGCTGTCCCCTGCCACCCTCAAGAAATACTGCTCGAGGAACAGGACTGCTGGCTGACACTGCTGTCCTGCCTCCTTCCGCCTCACACCCACCTCCCAGGAGACAGAGACTCTCCTCCTGCTTGAAAGACRGTGGCCTGGAGCAGTCACCTCGGAAGACCCAGGGCCAGTGCCTTCCCACACGGCCCTCACTTCCCTGTGTCCCTAAATCATGGCCTGCCCCAGAACACCCTGACAYGGGCAGGCACGCTCCACCTCAGAGGAGCCCTGACATCTTAACATGCCTGCCCTTCCCCAAAACTGACACCCCAGAAGGGAACAGCACAGTAGAGAATATRTGGCCCAAATGAGGGGGCTGGGACAAACCTTTGCTGGACCTCACCGTCACCTGAGAGAGGACACCAGCAAAGGACAGCCCTCTGAGACATCTTGGAGAAAATGACCCCTTAGCAGAACTGACAGCTACCTCAGAAGCAAGGGCCACCACCCTGGGACAGAACCGCCTCTCCTGAAATAGGTCACTAAGCTGGCAGGAGGCCTGGCCTCTAGCTCCAGGTCAGGGCCCACGGAGTCAGGATGAGCAGGCCCTGCCTGCAGCAGGCTCCAGGCAGCCTCCTCCCCGACTCCATCTTCTGTCCACTGCTGCCAGGATCCAAAATCAAAAGGGCAATGTCCAGCAGGATGGAGGTCACAGGACCTGAGTGGCTCACACCTACCTGTTTCCTGAGCAGCAGCAGCAGCCCACTCTATAAGGCAGGCCAGCAGCTATGCATGTGGCTGGCCCTTCCACAGGAAGCCAGAGCTAATGAGGAAGCACATCTTGGGGCCCCTGGAGCTCTCCCTAGGCTCAGTTCTCCCTTCAGGGCAACGGGTACACCAGGCAGTGCCTGCAGGGTCTGTGGACAAGGCCCCCAGCTGCCACAGGCAGTGGGTGCCACCCAGGGAGGCAAGTGCCCCAGTCCCTCACCTCCATAACGGCAGGCCAGGATGAGCTCAGGTGCACCAGAACTAGGCACAAGGAGCCTGACCTGGGCCAGGAAGTTTCCAGGAGTGTGGGCCTGGGCCAATGTCCCCYAGTTCAAGGAGACCTGCTGTTCCCTGGGAAGATCCAGGACCAGTCCCTTCCCTGTCTACATCTGCATGCCTCCATGGATTCCCAAGAAGCGAGACCGGAGAGACCTCCAATCTAGAGAGGCAGAAAAGCAAGGGGACTGAAACTTGGGGCTGGGATTTGAGCGCTCAGGCTGCCGAGGATCCTGCTCTCCTGTCAGAAACACAAGRGTCAAGGATCCAGTCTGGAAAATGGCTTGTTGCACGGGGTGTCAGCAGGGGTGGGGGCACTCAAGTCTGGCCTCTGACACCAGTGCGTGTCCAGCCCCGCGTCCACCCAGCCCAGGCCAGCTCCGCGCCAGCCCCAGACCGGACTGCCAGCATAGAACGTTGGTGCCATCTACCGAGGGCCAGTGGCGCGCTGGCGGGTGCCACTGCCACCCAGCCTTGCGGGGCCAGAGACGGGAACAGCAGCTTCGGCTTAAGCCGAGGTTACGCGGCAGCGCGAGAGGTATCGAGGACTCAGGAGGTATCGTGGACTCAGCACGCCCGCACCCCGCGCTTCATCTGAATCCCGCGCACCGCGCGAGAATCCCGATGCGCGCGGGTACACGGGTTCCGCGCAGGGGCCGGGACTGGGAAAAATCGCGCCGCCGGCCGCTCCGGCCCCGCAGTGGCGCTCGCCGAGCTTCAGCAGAGCGCGGCAGCGGGGCGGCGGCGGAACGTGCTGGAAGCCGAGTTGGGCGCAGGGGTCGCCACCAGCCGCGAGCGGCTTGGAGCGCGGAGGACGATGCCCGAGGAACTGTGTGCACGCCGAGGACAATTACCTTCTTTCAGGAACTGCGCGTGGATCACCAGGACGAGGAAGCAGCAGAGCGCGGCCCCTGCGAGTGCCCAGAGCGCCTTCAGGAGCTGCATCGCGGAGTGCCAACTCGGCCGACGCCCCCGAAGTCGCGCAGCGAAGGTCCAGGCGCTGCATCAGCGCCCCGCCAGGTGCAGCCGCCGCGGCCGCTCGCTCGCGCCCTCCATCCACCTCCAACGCCGCGCTCTGCCGCGACTGGAGGCGCCACTCCGGGAGGCGATTTGTGTCTTTTTGGGCAGGGGGGAGGGGAGCGGGCGCGGGGGGAGGGCGCCAGGGAGGGGGCGGGCGGGGGCGGGGAGGTTAGCGGAAAGTCTCSGGCCGCGGCGGCCGCAGCTCCGGCCACTCGGCCACCATCGCGGGCTGCGGGGCGCCGGGGGCCCGAGCGCGGGGGAGCGGCCGCCGCGGCCCCATGAATCAGCCCCACCGCCGCCCCCGGAGCCGCGCCGCCAGCAGGGCCCGGACGGCGGCCCGCGGATTGCGCAACGGCCGGGCGGCGCGGGGGGGTCCGGCGCGGCCCCGGCCCGGCCTTCCTCGCCTGTCGCCCCCCGCTCGCTGCTCGGCGTCGCCTTCTCCTCCTCCTCCTCCTCTTCCTTTTTCTCCTCCTCCTCCTCCTCCTCCTCCGCCGCCGCCGCCGCCTCCGCCTCTGGCCGCTCTCTCTCCGGCCCGGGGCTCAAGGGGCCCCCGCGCCGCCGCCACCACCGCCGCCGCGGCGGGCCAGGCTCGGGGCCGGGGCTGTGCGCCGAGCGCGGGGCTGCCGCACCATCGCCGATTCCGGGGCCCGCTCGGCCGGCCCGATCCCGCCGCGATCGAACTTGCGCKGCCCGGGGCTGCTGCGCGAGTCCCCCCCGGACGGTGCCGGCCTCCGCACTCCCCGGAGCCCGCGCCTCCGCCGCTGCGGCCGGGAAGAGGTCCGGGCCTGGCGCGTCCGCGGCTGCCCGCTCTGGCTGGAGCTGCCGGTGGCGGTGCCGGTGGTGGCWGCGCCGACAGGTGGGGCCGGCGACGCTGCGCGCCTCACCGCCCGCGGGACGCCGCTGCTCCGGCCCGGTGGCGCGCGCCCGCCGCTCGGCTCGGCGCCGGCCCCTTTTGGGGAGGCGGCGGGAGGGGGAGCGCCGCGCAGGTCTCCGCTAGCACAGGCGGCTGGGCCGCGCTGCCTCGGACTCCGGCCGGCGCCGCGCCGCCGTCTGCGTTCCGCCCGGCCCGCGGAGCCGCCGATGCGCACTGGGCCGCGGAGGGGACCCCGGGGACCCGGGTCGTCTTGCAGCGCCCCCGCCTGGCGCGCCAGCGGGTCAGGTGGGGCTAGTCCAGCGGAAAACTGCGGGTCGGGCTCCACCTAGGTGTACAGGAGCCTCACTGCAGAGCTAGCCGCGGCCGGCGCCGGGAGTGAAGGACCAAAGGCCTGAAGTCGCGCCCAGCCCCCTTCGCACCCCACTGCTCAGCGAGAGACAGTGGAACCCAGGCCCAGGCTCGGCAACTGCCCGGAACTGTTCCGCAGCTGGACCCTCTCAGAGAAGGCTGCTTTTGGGGGAGGTGGTTCCACGGGTTTTGAAAATGGCACATCTTCCTGAACACACACACACACACACACACACACACACACACACACACAGTCGCTCCAGGATCATGCTGTGTGCCAGCCTCCAAACAGCTGCCCTGTTTCTCAGGGCATGTAGCACAAGGTCCCCTCCAGAGGAACTCAGCAGGTACCTCCCATGCTGCCTTCATCCTCCCCTTCCTGTTCTGTCCAGAACCCAGCACCCACAAAGGTAAGGTAAGCCTCAAGGCTGTCTTGCCTGAATTGAACTTCAGGAGCCCAGCCAGAGCTTTGGGCGGGAATCAGCGCACCAGCTCCTGGCTGGCTGGGCCTGGCCTGCTTGGAGGGGTCAAGAAGGACCTCCAGCCCACCTGCTTCACGAAGGCTGTTTCTGCTGTGCATTAAGTATCTATGTACCCAGAAGAGAAAGAGGCCGGGCATGAAGGGCTCTTAGARGTCAGCTAGATCAAGTCCCGCAATGCACATTTGGGGAAACTGAGGCCTGTAGATGCTTGGCAGCTGGCACTAGTCAACCAGTAAGTGAAGGGCAGAGCCATGCTYGATGTGTCTGCCTGACCCAAGTCCGGGTCAGAAGAGAGACAAGCAACTCCTCACCTCTGCCTGCATCACCCTCCCCTGTCCCTGAAGATGGCTAGGAGAGAGGAGTGCCAGGGTCCTTCGACCCGGAGAGGTGGTCCCAGATGACGCCAGCTAGGCAACCCTGGACCTGCCTCAGAGGGACTAAACCTTCTCTCCCTCAAGCAGTCCCTGGAAAAGTCCCACCTCCGTAGACACCCACTCTGCCCTCTCCTCACCCCTAGACACTTTCCAGTGTGTCTCCCTCTCTGGCGGAGTCTCAGACCCTGCCCCGCCCAACCTGCAGAGCCTGACCTCCGCCAAGGTCACTGGCCTGCACACGGCACCTGGAGCAGAGTTCTCCGCCTCAGTGGGCTCAGGGTCTTCTAGGTGTTCATCACACACACCCCAGCAGGACCCCAGAGGGACCTCAATCAAGAAACAAGGCCACCTCTGACATGGGTTGTGTCCCCAATCAGGTGCATATTATTTGAAATCTTGAAGATTGAACAGTATCTTAAAATTCACTAAAGGAACTTAAAAAAAAGAACTGTTTGGAGGATCCTACYGTAAAGAGGATTAAGAGAAGGAAGGAAAATCAAGTTGTAAAGAGAGAATAGCCTGCTCACTTTCCTCAGGTGGGACTTGGGTGCCCAGGGTGGCTGAGGTCTCCTGTTAGGAAAAGCACCCGGCTCAGCTGGTTCCCTCGAAGGAGAGCACAGGTGGGAAGGGCAAAGCTCCACCAGGAAGAGCTGGTCGGCTGCGCAGACCATGGAGGCCCCTACCCCTGGACACTCAGCTCTGGATGGCACAGGTGAAACTCACACAGGCCTTAGGAGGAGACCCCTTGGAAATGACAGCACCACCATGAACTGGCAGGTCAGAGAGGGCAGGGGGAGCCGAGCTCCATGCTGCACAGAAGGGAAGACCACTGGGAGGATGCCCACATGCTCCAGGACAGACTGGGAGTGAAAGAGAGCCCAGTCCCAGGGGCAGGGGTGGACAGTCCAGCAGGCAGCAGGAGGCACCTGGCTAGAGCTGTGTCCCCAAAGCTGCTGGCAGCTGTGCCCCCACCCACTTAAGGGCAAGTCCAGCTGAGGCCAGAGGCAGAAGCTATTAAGGAGAGGGCCCTCAGCCAGACAGGGTCCCCACAGTGCCTGAAGCCTGGGAGCCTGCAGGGCAGGGTACATTTCATTCAGTGTCTCTGGGGGAACCTGACATGGCCTCATTACGCACACAGGCAGGGACATCAGCACAACAGGTTAGCTGCTGCCTCCTTGACTGTCACCAACTAGGCACAGGTGTCTCATATCACGTAGCCACTCTCAGAAACACCGGACTGCAGGTGGGCTGTGCTCACCACTGGGCTTTTATCCAGGATCCCAGCCCCAGTGAGAAGCCAGAGCCTGAGAGGAGGCGAGGAACTCCACGGCCAACAGAATGAGCAGGACCGGCCAATCCCAAGGTGGCAGGTTCCCCCACCATGAAATGCACAAGCGCTTGCCCCTGTGGAGATGCCCATCTGGCTCTGTTACCACTTCCAGGATGTCACCTGTCCACATGCCCCATCAGCTGTCCTGGGCAAGCAAGAAGCACCCTGGGATACCCAGGGCATGGGTCACCACAGTGACCTGCTACACCAGACCTCCACTTTCCTTCCTGCCCAGACAGGACTGGCAGGCAGGATCCCAGGAACCTGCAGAAAGCCCAGGTGTAAAAGAGAAGGCTCAGGATGCATCCTGACTCCTGAAGGACAGAAGTAACTCGGGGGAAAGCAACCTCCATAAGTCTAAATATCATCATTCTCCAAAGAGAGAGAGAATGTGGTGCCCATCCGAGAAAAGCAGGCGCTGATGACCAAGTGGAAAGCCAGGGAAGCAGGACCCTTGGAGATGGACATGACATTAAGTGATGAGAGATGCACCAAAGAGTAATGAGTGGGCAGAGGAGAAGATGAGGAAAAGGCAGAAATGTCTCCCACAGTGGAGACTTGTGGAAAGGAAAGGCAGAGGAAAAGGAGACGTGGAGGGCACCCCGGGCACCCGGGCTCAACTTCCCCTGGGTGCAAAGTCTCAGGGGGGAAAGGCGCAGAGAGGAGCTCACCAGAGGCATGGCACACACCTCCGGCTGCATGGGCTCACTGCACTCCAGACAGACCTCACGGGCAGACCCAGACCAAGAAAGACAAGGCACTCTGGAAACCTTGCCGGACACAAGGACACCAGCAGCAAATCCACTGTCCCACAGCCAGAAATCAAGGACACGGGGCTTTCCTTGGGGACTGTCTCCAGCTCTGATGGGGAAGACAGGCCCCAGGGCACCAGCCAGTCTCAGTGGGACACACCACCCAAGGCGTGCCACACCCCTTGCCATCACGCCTGCAGGGACAGCTGACCTGGTGGCCACTCCTGCAGAGAAATGGGTCCAGAGACTGGGCATGGCAACATGGAGTGAGGGGAGGCCAGCTGATTTGAGTTGGGGAAGYGCAGGGCATAAAGAATCTGCACGAAGCCGTGCAAGGCCCCGCGACGCAGAAGACTCTCCTCCAACCAGCAAAAGCTTTACAATAAAACATTACATCTCTTTCTCCATAATTCTAGCCACAAATCTTCTTTCTGTGGTAAACAACATTTATGAGATAGTATTGTAAATGCCATTCGTTTCTATTCAAGTTTTAAAATCAACATGTCGACAAAGCTCAGAAAATTCGTGTGCACATACACACACACACACACACACACACGCACGCACGCACCTCACACAAGAGCGCTCCCTCTCTCCCTCTCTGTATGTGAATGTGTTTGAATCCATACACATGTGCACACACACGTGTGCATGACTGAACGGAGGAAGAGAATGCTCAGGCCAAGGGAATGTCCAGGCCCGAGTCTGCCCACTTGTTCAGAATGGGAAGCCCCTCTGCAGGCCCTGACCAGAGCCGATGGATCACACAGGAGAAATCTAAGTGTGCACTGACTGCCATCATGTTTATTACAAATAAAGAAATCAAAACCACAGTGACAAAAGTCAGAAGAGGGTGTGAGTATGAAGCATTTTTCCCTCGGGAAAGGCCTGGTACGGGGAGCGGGACAGAGGCTTTTCTTTTTGTTTGAGGCTTCATGGT